ACTGGCCAAGGAACTTAGCTGGGGCAGTGTGGGAACAGGGGCTGGACAAGTTCAGGAGGCCATGTTTTACTTGCTTTCCTTCTTTGCTCTCTACTGAAGGACAGAGTGTGATTTTCTACGTGGAAAGGACTCCAGGGGTGTGCAAAGAAGGAAGTCCTTCCTGCTGGTGTGTAACTGAAAACACTTTGTTCTCCTTTAGATCTGCAATGTGCTCATGTCTCTTCTGATTTTCTTATGGCAGCCGTCACCTCCACTATGGAAAGAAAAATGAATAGTAATGTTGTGATGGGCTGGGCTGTCATGTTTTACCCTATTTACAGGTCATTTTAAGTATTGCTTCTACACTTTAGACGGGCTTTCATGTTTAATTTCACTCGTGTAGGGCTATGCTAGGCTTTCCTCTAGGTAGCAATGAAAATTAAACACAATTGAGTTTGATGTGTACCTTATTGATTCCAGACCCATTTCAGTAGACTGTGACACTTCAGCGACCTGCAAATTTCTACACATTAGAGTTCATATTTTATACAAATGCTATACATCCAGGACATGGACTCAAATTTCTACCAGCAATATCCAACTCCTAACAAAAGACACAGACCATGTCAGAAGATGATAACTACTAATAGAGATACATTACAGATGATACTGATGGTCATCCCCTAGGAAAAAAAAAAGGAGTCATGAATTATTTCATGGAAATCACACTAAAGAAGGAATAATTATTCCCTCAATTCCACATTGCTCTTCTGGTCCTCTGTAGGCTACTTCTTGTTCCACAAGTCACCACAACTTCATTTCAAAAGGATGAAGTAGGAGAGGAGAGCAGTTGTGTGTTAATCAGGCTTGGGAACTACCAAGTAGTGAAAACTGCTCAGCACCTTTGATTGATTATGTCCTATCAAAGAAGAGTGTGTGATTATAAAGGTGAAGCATATTCTTCCGTGGCCCATGGTTCCTCCGGCAGAGGCATCTTTAGAGGAGGCCACTTGAGCAAAGGGAACAATTGGTAACAGAACAAGGCAGGGTGGGTGGGTTCTGACCAGTCACTGGTTTCAGGGTATTGTGTCAATCATCTCTGTTTTGCAACCGAGCTGGGAATTAGAGGCTTTATTCAGCCTGAAGTGGGAGAAGGGGAATTTTTACTAGAGGGCATGGCCTTCTGAGGCAAGGGAAGAATGTATCGTCTGCCAGCTGGGGCAGGGAACAGAGGTGAGTCAGAACTGCTTGTGGAGAGTGGTATTCCCCCCTGGGGGTCACAGGGCCACTCGTAAAATGATGCCTAGATGTTGGTCTACAGCCAAGGTTCTCAACTTTGGCTGCACATTAGAATCACCTGGGGGGAGATTTTACAATCCCAATGTCCAGGCCCCACCTCAGGCCAATTACATCAGAGTCTCTGGAGTGGGACCCAGGCCAGGTAGTTGTCAAGGCTCCCAAGGTGATTCCAGGGTACAGCCAGGCTTGAGGCCCACTGATCTAGGATCTTGCTAATCAAAGTGTGCTCTGAGGACGAGCAGCATCAATTCACCTAGGACTTGTTAGATATGCTGAATCTCAGGCCCTACCCCAGACCTACTGAGTCAGCATCTGCATTTTAGCAAGGTCCCCAGGAGATTTGAAGTCTATTAAAGTGTGAGGAGCTATGGTTCTCAAACTTGGCTGCACATAGAAATCACTTAGGGAGCTTTTAAAAATCCCAATGCCCAGGCTGCACCTTGTACCAATTAAACCAGAATTTCTCGGGGAGGGATGCAAACATCAGTATTTTTTTTTTAATTGGTTCTCAGGTGATTTTCATGTGCATGGGTTCTCAATCCTGGCTACATATTAGAATCTCCTGGGGAGCTTTTAAATGCCCTACTCTCAGAAATTTTTATTTAATTGGTCTGGGATAGGCAGCAAAAGGCTTCCTAGGTGATTCCAACATACAGCCCATGAGAACCTCTGTTCAGAATGTTGGTTCAGGTTCACCCAAGGGACAGCCAGCTTAAAGCTCTGGCTACAAGTCAATGGATCCAAAAACAGCTAAAGGAAAACAAAGACCAGACCACGTCTAGACTTATCTGGTCACACGGCTCTTTGATAGTTGATCTCCTTACATGTGACAACTACTATACTTGTTTTATGAATTCAAATATTTGTGTGCCCCTTTACTTTTCTAATAAAGTTCCTTCAGAAAATTCAACCTTAGGTCAACTGAAATCAGCAAACGCATTGGCCTACACCTGGGCCACAGGAGCCGGGAACAGCCAAGGGATCAAGTGAGGTGGAGACAAGACAGGTCAAGATGGAGAACTCGGGTGATCAGGGGCCGAGATGAAAAATGAAGAAAGACCCAGGGGACAAAAAGGAGGTGAGGTGATTGTGATTTTTGGGACCCCTTACCCTATGGCACGCTCTCCCATTGCTGACATGACTGTAGAGTTGGTAGTTCTCTGGTAGGATTGCTGGATTTAGCAAATAACTCAGGGCTCCCAGTTAAATTTGAATTCCAGATAAACAATGAATTATTTTAAATAGAAGAATGTCCCATGCAATATTTGGGACACACTTATACTAGAAAACTATCTGTTGTTTATCTGAAATTCAATGCTAACCAGGTATCCTGTGTTTTATCTGACACCTCTGCTGTATAAACAACCCTAAATTCTCAGTGAGAGTAGGGCTTTCTCCAGGTCTTGAGTGGGGTCCTGCCATCTGAGGTGAGGTCCATGTGTGTTTGTTTTCTGAACCCTGTCCCTAGGAGGTCCACCATCTTGGGTTCCACAGAGGTTGCTCAAAACCCTCACTAGCACTGGCAGGAGTATGTGGGGGTTGTGGATAAAATCCTTGAACTTCATCTCTGCTGGCTCAACTGCAGTCCTCGGTGTTGAGACGGTTCCTGGGAGTTTCCCAGAGGTGCCCTTGTCTCCCACTGCTACTTGCCCAATTTACCCTGAATTCGCCCAAGGGAAAGGGGGCTGGAAGCCGTTGATGGGCTGGAGGCGACAGTGTTGAGCTGATGGTGACTCAGACATATGTAGGGAAAGGCGTATAAAAAGGGAAGCATGGTTCACAGTCACGGCCGTGGCATGTCCCTGAAGAGGCTGTTCAGTGTCTGAGCCCGGGCGCCCGGCTTTCAGCAGAGGCTGCTCCACAGAAACATGTTCAGAGTCAAAAGTGCAGTTTCCTGTTCCATTCAGCTGCAAACAGCTCATCCCCTCCTGGCTTCAGAGTGTGTGGGGCTTGCAGGAGGGAAAAGGAGGCAGAAAGTGAGAAGGAGGCAGCTGCCGGCGAGAGATATGTACGCATGAGAGATGTGTAGGATGACAGGTAGACATGGAGTGGGGAGAGCAGCCGGAGATAGAGGGGGAGGGGGTGGGAGGGAGACAGAGGAGGGAAGGTGTGGGGGGAGGGGAGGATAGCGTGAGGGGAGCAGAAGGGAGGACTAGATGGAGAGAACTGATTAGTTAGCTGGGGATGTTCAGAGGCATGAGGGGTGATCTGGAAGGGGACCCTTTGCTCATCCCCCTATCCTGTCCCACTAAAGATCTAAGCTGGTGCTAGCCTCTTCCCTGAAGCAGAGCCTCTCAATCATTTGGCCTCACAAAAAGCCTAAGAGGGCTTGTGCAGGCTGCAGAACAGGCTGGGCCAAATTCTGAGAGCATGCTCATTTTCTCTGGGTGCTCCAGGAGGTGAGTGCCCCTTTTGTGAGGACCATGTGCTGGTCAGACCCTGTAGGCACAATAGAGGCTGGAGAGCTTGTGCTCACCCTGGGAGGAACATCTACTGTTCGAAGTCCTCCCCATCTCCATGCTGACACCACTGTCTTCCCAGAATAATAAATTGCTGCAGTTTAAATGAGGGTCACAGACTTGGTTTTGTGTTTCTTCTGGGAGTCAAGTCTCTTGAAATACAAGCTTTTCTCTGTCTTCTGTTTCTTGCTCTCTCTCTCTTGCCTGTTTCCTGATGGGCTGCAGTGTGGACAGCTGGGATTTCCAGAACATCTTCCCCCACAGGCACCCTAGACCTGGTGTGGGGAAGGCTCTCATGAGAAACCTCAGTAGCTGGTGGCAAATTGAAATGATAAATGGGCTTTTTACCTCCCTGGCCACTTAATTATGGGCAGGAGTAGTCAGAGGTTCTATGGAAAATTGGGAGAGAAGCCTCGGAAGGGAGGGAAGGAGGAGGGAGGGAATAGTTTTAGAACAGGGCAGATGTGCTGAGGTGAGGTTCCAGATGAACTGTGTGACTGGTAGATGGAGATGGGCCTGGGCCTTGCTGACTTTTGGGGGTTCGGCGTGTCACATCTTGACCAGAGCCTGGCCACTAGCTCCAAACCTGTTCTCTGGAACCAGAGACACTGTCCCTGGGGATTGAGAGGCCTGGCCACTGTGGAAAGAGTTGGCCTGATCCTATGGGCCAGCAGCTCACTCTGGAATCTAATTCAGGAACACAGCCTGTTGGTGAAGTCATGTGTTGTGGACTGTCAGGCAGCTTGACAGGTCCTGGGAGCCCTGGAAGATGGGCTCGGGTGGCCTCTGAGTCCAGGCTCGTATTGTCATCCCAGCCCTAGGAAAGAACAGCCTGCCCCGTGGGGGACCCCCAGCTGGCACACATACCCCTTCAGCAGGTTGGCTGGTGTGGGCCTAGCTGGCCAGCTCCTGGCTGGCTCTTCTCTGTCTACCTCTGACCTTCCCCAGACCTGGCCTGAGGACTCTGGGTCTGTGTTGGGGGGAGACGTCAGTGTGGAACGAGCCAGGGCCCAGGAGAGGTCCATGGGTGAATCCATGTGGGGTCGTGAGGTGCACGAGGAGCTGGCAAGTATGCGTTTAGGGCATCAAGGAGGGAGCTCAGAGGCGGGGGCATGGCTGCGATGGCTGGTAAAGGAAAAAGGGCCCAGCTCCTGACCAGCTCCTGTCCTTCATCATCTCCTGGCCCCTCTCCTCCACCCCTGGCATTTCTCATGTTCTGGGACAGGGTCTAAATCGGGCACTTGGATGAGGCAGTCCCTGGGAGCTGCCAGTCTTCCAGGTCCAGCGTGGTCACAGGGCTTGCTGGCTCCACGTCTCCTCCTTTCGGTTTGGCCCTCGCTTGCCCGAATCCCTACCGGTGTCTGATGCCAGTGTGTCGCTGCCTGCTGAGATCCTTTTCCCTTGTGCTGGTTCCAGGCACTATTTGCAGCTACCGAGGTGGGTCTGCATGTGTGTGTGTGTCTACACGTCCTCCTTGGACATTTGACTAATCATTTATTGGCCCCGAGTGAGGCACAGTTTCCACAACCCTTTCCAACCCTGGACTTAGTGGTTGGAGAAAGTTCCTGAGTACAATTTATTAAACACGTATGAGTCTCCCCATTCGTCAGGGCCCCCAGCACATGCTGCTGCTCCTTTGGGCCGTCTTCTCTCAGGACCTTGCCCTTGTGTCCCCTGCGCCCCTCCCCGCCACCTGTCCCTGGACCCCTAAGCTCCAGAGACTGTGTCTGGCATATCCCAGTCATGAGCAGTTAGTCTGTTGCCTTCCAGAGCCCAGGCTTTGGAGTCAGCCAGACCCAGGTTCAGATTCTGACTCTCTTGCTTATGAGCTGATGACCTTGACCTACTTAATTTCTCTGAGACTCAGTTTCCTGACCTGAAAAGGGGGATAATAATGTCTTCTTCTCAGATCATGGTGAGGGTTGGTGGGCTCATGCCAACGAAGCACCTGGCACAGGTCTAAGTTCCTGCTCTCCACTCTCCTCTCCTCATAGTGGTTGGCACAGAGCCGGGCTTGTGGTCGGCACCCAAAAAAGTAGCAGTGACTGATTCATGATTATGGAGCCTGCAATTATTGGGCTGAAGTCCCTAAACAGGGAAACAGCTCTAAGCAAACCCATTAATTAGGGGCCTGTTTGCAGTTCTTTTGTGCTGGCTTGTCATGTGTTAGCTCAAGGAGGGCCCCAGACCCCCCCACCCCCAGAGGTCATTCTGGGAAAATAATGACCAGGGGGCGGCTCCAGCCTGAGGTGTGCAATTCCCACCTATTTGTGACCTTCACGCCCATCCTCCCCTCCCACCCCCAGAGCTGGTGCAATAAACAAGTTACCAGGTGACAAACGCAGCCCTGTAAAGAGGGCCACTGGCCTGAGGAGGCATTAAGCCTGAGCTAATGACCTTTGCCGGGGAGGCCGGGGAGCAGGGGGGATGGTGAACCTTTAGGCCAGCAGCTACTTTTTGAGAAAAAGGAAGACGATTTTCTTTTTCAAAAAGGAAGAAGAAATGCCAAAATAAAGCATGACAGAAATCATGTTATAATATAACCTACATGTTCACATGTATCAGATTAATAAGTCCAAACCCCAAGTGCAATATAACTTATTTCACAATAATTTCAGGCCTAATAAAAATAGTTGTTGTGCACTGCAGGCAAGCAGGTGGTAAGATAAGCTAATGAGATATAAGCTTAAAGCGGCACGATGGATGTCTGTCCTGCGGCGGCAGTCCCCATCCCACTCCCCTGGGATGGTGCTATGGGGCAGCTCTGTGGGGCACCGTGGTTCTCTGAATTGGGTGGGGCCCTGGTGACAGAAACTCAGAGATGATCTCATCCCACTAGGAAACTAAGACCCATTCACTAGCCACAGACCCGTAAAAATAGGTGCGGCCAGCCTCTTTCAAAGGCTGTGCTCCTGGCTGCTGTGCATCTATGCCGTGTGGGTTCTGGCCTCCTACACAGAGTGGGTGTTGAGCAAATACTCTCGAGCCAGCTGTCAGGCACAGTCAGCGTGCTTCGATTCCCTTCTTGGATGACTGCTGCTTTCCCTCTTCAGTGGTGAATACCATGAACAAGGGAACTATGTCTGCCTTTCCCCTTCCTGCATCCTCAGAATATAACAAAAGTTCCATAAATTCATGTTGAAATGCACTGAAGAAAATCTCCTCTAAGAAGTGCCCGGCTTCCCACACAGACGGAGTGAGGCCCATTTTCCTGGGCTGCTTTCCTCTATTTCAGAACATTTTATGTTAGAGTTATGTTTGTTTCTTTGTCCTGGTCCAACACAGGCTCTGAGCATCTCATTAATATCCCAAGTACCCAGCACAGCGACTGGCACAAAGAAGGCAATGACCAGAACTCTGTGGCCTCACCGAGACTGCCTCCCCGCAACCGCAGGCCCAGCGCTCTTGGAAGCTCTGTTTCCTGATGAGTGTTTTCCTGTTTTACCAATCTTTGTCTGTCTCTAGAAGCCCATGTTCTCTTCTCCCGGTATCAGGGCACATCTGGTTGTTGGTACATGTTGCTTAGTTAGAAACTCTTAAAACAGCATGAAATTGTTAGCACGTTGCTCCTGCCTGCCAAGCTGTTCTCGAGACTCAGGCTTTGGTGGATTTGGTTTTCTGTTTGTTTTCTGTTTTCATGCAGTTTAGAAAATTGGTCTGTGACAACCTTGGGGGAAATAAGCCTGCCTTGAGCTCTGCCAAGGAGAGGGCAAGTCTGAGACGAGGGCTGGGGAGGTGGGGGAGGGAGTCGGCTCAGAGAAGCTCGGAGAATCCTGGCTTGCGTTTTCTTGCGTTTGGATTGGAAGCTCAGGGCTAATTTGATGTTCTGGGAGAAGGGTGCCCAAAGGACGTAGAGGGAGGCTGGGAGAGCCTTCTTTCTGTGTGGGTCCTCAGCACGGACCAGTATGGTACCTTTGGGTTCCAGGGGATGTAGACACTCTCTCTCTCTCCATAAATGTCCCAGGGGCGGGGGCGGTGAGGGTGCTGCCCTTACCTCTTATATTTGATTTCTCTGCTATCTTTGGATGTGGGCAGCACCAGAACTCAGCTCTCCCACATGGCCCCAATATGCCATCCCCCTCCCCACTCAGTAGCTCTTGTCTCTTGGCAATATTTCCTCTTTCTGGAAATAATCTCATCTGGGGAAAAGTCTGGGCTGGTCTATTTCATCTTGGGTGGTAGTTGTTATCCTTGCTGAGTGTGTAGACCCACTCAACGCTGCTCCTGGATGGTCAGACAGGCACAAGGAAAGGCAGGCGGGAAAGGTTCTAGTACCCCAGGTAGGACTCAGTTTGATTACTGGCAATGGAGCTGTGGCTAAAAAACTCTTCTTTTGTCAAAATGCTAATAGCAGCATCCCTTCACCCCCCCCTCCCCAAGCACTATGCCTTGTCTTTGGTGTTCTCTACTCCATCTTTCACTGCTATTTTAAAATCTTTCCTTTTCCACAAGAGCGTGGCCACCATTTCAGCCTCTAACTTCTCCTCAGAGAATAGTTCTGGGCTGTGCAGCTGGGTTCCAGGTCTTTGCGAATAAGTCTGAGATTTCTACTCCGGCACCAGCATCCTGAACAAATCTCAGAGTACAGCCTTAAGGGCTGTTCTGCCTCCTTATTGCGCTGGGGTGCGGAGGGGCATGGTACCCTGCTATGGGCTGAATGTTTGTGTCTTCCCAGAATACATATATTGAAACCTAATCCCCAGCGTGATGGTATTAGGAGGTGGGGCCTTTGGGAGGTGATTAGGGCATGGGGGTAGACTCATCTTGAATGGGATCTGTGCCTGATAAAAGAGATTTCAGAGAGCTTTCTTCCCCTTCTGCCACTTAAGGACATAGCAAAAAGATGGCCGACTATAAACCAGGAAGCTGGCCCTCACCAGCTACCAAATCTGCCAGAGCTTTGATATCAGAATCCCAGCCTCCAGAACTGTGAGAAAGAAATGCTTATTTTCAAGCCATACAGTCTGTGGCATTTTGTTATAGCAGCCTCAATGGACTAAGACACACCCCTAAAACCTAAGCTCTCTAAGGGAGCCCTTGCTTGTTTGGTATCTACCATGTGCCAGACACTGAATATGTGGCTCAGATATAATGACTTGCCCAAGCCATACAGGCCATTACGTGACATAGTGACAAAACGACATCTAAATGCATGTCTGTCTGAGAAAGATAAATAATTAAATAAATAAATAAATATTAAATCAATACATGTCTCTCTGATGTCAAAGCCCTTCCTCATTCCTCTGCACTAGGGGTTCATGAGCTCAGGAAGAACAGTTCTGTGTGTCACCCTGCCCCAGCCTCGTACCTCCGGTCTTGTTTTCTCAGCCTTCCATTTCCCAGCTCAAAGCCTGCAGAAATGCCCTTGCTAATTAGGTCTGAATCAAGGCAAAATTCCTTTTGTCACCACCCCTGAGTTTTAGTTAAATATGTTAAAATGGGTCTTTCATTTAAAAAAGGTGGAAGAAGGGGGAGAAGCACAAAAAGAAACCATTGAAAGAGTTTATACATTTCGAATTCTGAATGTTTGGTAAGGCTTAAAGGCATGCAGTGGGTGCCATACTTCAACTCAGCCACATCCTGGGGATCCCCCAATGTGGCTTCTTAGCAGGCTGTCGGACATCGCTCCTCTGTCCCCCATCTCTGCCTCCTCCTTATCTGGAAAGGATTTGAAGCAAGTGTCCCTGTCACATGACTGGGGTCCTGGAGCTGAGAACGATGGATGAGTTCCTGGAGCCTGTGAATTTCTAGAAATTAAATGAAAAAGTGTGATTGGATGGTCGTAGGTGCTTTTTTTCTGGCGAGCCGGTTCACAGATTTAATCAGATTCATAGAAAAGTTGATGATGAAATGATCTAAGTAGCCCTGGAAGTCAGCATGGAACTTCCATGTGAGCAATTTATTTCAGAACTAAGTGCTTCGACAAGTTTTGCTTCCTCAGAAGGAACTGGTAGGTTTTCTCTTCCTGTAATCAATTATCTATACATGACACTATGAAAGCATTTCTAACTTATTCCATTTTCATTTTACTGCAATTATTTCTACCTGGATCAACTCAACTTTGTGTAAATACTATGGGAAGAATGGATTCACTAACCAATTTCTTTTTTTTTTCTTTCCCACTATAGAACATTCTTATCAATTATTGTTTCTGCCATAGAAAGTTTTCTATGGTGGCTATGATGCAGAGTGAACACAAAGTGACAGAGAGAGGGAGAAGAGAGACAAAGCCTGAAGGGTATTTTTACTGAGAGTGAGGTCAAATGTCCTTGAGGGGAAAAGGTCCGTGGGTCAAGTGATGGGGTCAAATATCCTGTTTCAGAGTCTCTGCCAGGAGAAGGTCTTGGGGCAGGAGGAAGCAAGCACCTTATAGAATGAAAGGAATTTGCCACCCCCTCCCCACCATGGGCTATTGTGCCTTCACCAGGATGGACAGA